GAGAGAATCCCAAGTAGGCTCTGTGCTGTCAGCACAGAGCCCCACATGGGGCTCGAACCCATAAACCGTGAGATCATGACCTGAGTCTAAATTGGACGCTTAACCAACTGAGCCACCCAGGTGCCCCAGGAATATTTTTAAAAGCAAATCACCTTATTTCTGTTTTAAATTGAGAATACGTGTGCAAAAATGTTAAATGTTCCCAAGGACAGACCGGTGTGCCTCCTGCTGATTGTCCAATGTTCTGTTCCCAGCTCCGTGAGGGGACCCCTTCCTTCTAGAGAGAGTATGCACACACAAGCTGATACATGTTTTTCCTTTCTGCTCTACTTTGCACGAATGGCAGTATATTACACACCCTCTTCCACACCTTCCACTCCCATCTAACAGAATACCAGGCAGAGCCTTCTAAGGATTTCCTGTTTACTTTAATGGCTGCACCTCAAATGTGTAGATAGATCATAAATTATTTAACTAGTTTCCTACTGATGGAAATGAGATTGTTTACTAATTTTTGCTATTAGAACAAAGTTGCAGTAAATATCTTGCCTGTATGTCATTTTCATTTTGCACCTATGACTGAATTTCTAGAAATGGAACTTCTGGGCCAAAAGATATGTGTGTTTTTTGTTTTGGTAGATATTGCCAAACTGACCCTGTGGAAAGTTGTGCTGAGATACACTCTCATGGCAATGTGTGATGAGAACGCTGGGCTCCCCCCCCCCCAACACGTGTGTTGTCTTTCATTTTTGCCAACTGGTGGGTGAAAATGGTGTAATTTGCGTTGTTCCTTGCAGTCAGGGTGATGATGTGACATTGTACTTCCTTTCCAGTGAATGGCCTAGTTGATATCCTTTGCTCACACTTCCATCACATTGTTGACCTTTTCCATGTTAATTTGCAGACACTCTTTATACACTGAGGACATCATCCCCTTGCTTTGGTTGGCTTCCTAGAGAGCAGACTGGGAGATGGAGATCTGCAGGCAGGGATTTACTGAGACGCATTCCTGAGAACCACGGTCCAAGGACCTGAGGGAGGAGGAAAACTGTTCCTTACTGAGGCCGGGACTGGGTTTTGCGTACGGCCCCTCTCCCACTGACCGATCCCTGGATGCTACCCCCGGCATGTGGAGGGGCCACGGCAAAGACCCTGCTGGGCAAGCGCGTTCCCGGGGGACGCTCCCTGGGCCTCGGCAGCAGCCGGCGGATAAGGAACCCTCTGTCCTCTATGCTCCTGGTCTGTACGAGCAATTGCAAATATTTGCCTGTGTTTTGGGGGATTTTGTTTTATGTCGTGTTTGCTATATGGATTTTTTTAAAGATCGTTAAATTTCTCCTTCCTGTGGCCTTCTGAGCTCAGAAAGACCTTCTTCACTCTCACATAATATTTTAAATTCTCCCAGTTTTACTCTGGCACACTTAGGATTGTATTTTGTATGAGTAAGTACATGAGCCTCTGGAATGGAGTCTGGTGAGGAGTGAAGTAGGAGTTAATGTGGTCCTTTGTTACGCCCCATCACCCAGCTAACCGACACCATTCGCTGCGTAACCCAGCCTTCCTTCCGCCGGCCTGAGAGCGACCTTTGCCACTTATGAAACGCCCATGTGTCATTACGTCTATCTCTGAAATTTTAAAAAATTCTATTCTTTTGCTCTGTGCATCAGGGCAGGATAATTTTTTGAGCAAAACTGCAAGTTAGAAAAGTAATACTAAGTTAGGAGGAAATGGGGAGCTGAATAATGGGCTCCGCTGGCCGCCCTGTCCATCAGACCCCCAAGGGTCATTCGGCCAACAACCCCATGGGACAGACAAATGACCACCCCAACTCCTGATGTCCCTGTCCCCACTGAGCACATCAAGCCCAGGTGGCGTGGAAGAGGGGACCTGGGCCATATGAATGGGGTGCCACGGCATGCTGGGCAGCAACAGCCAGAGAGGACAATGTCCCCCAGCCCGCGCGGTGGCGGCTGCTTACCTGCAGGTTGCTGTTGACTCTTTCCGCTCCACACTTGTGGGCTCGCAGATCACACTTTGAAAAACAGTCAAAGAAATTGCAGTCCTCATCCCCCGTGCAATTCTGCTCGAGAATTTCCCTCATTTTGGGTTCAAAAAAGGCCATGTCCACGTCGATGGCCACCACCTGTAACCAAGCAGCACATGGCCATCACAAAGACTCCCAGGGCCCAGCACATGGTTGTCACAAGGACTCTGGGGGCCCAGAGCATGGCCATCAAAAGGACTCCTGGGGCTGTCACGAGGATGCCGGGGGCCCAGCACATGGCCATCACAAGCGCTCTTGGGGCCCAGCTCATGGCCATCACGAGGACCCCCCGGGGGGCCAACGCAGAGGGAGCCAGTGTGCCTCTGCTCTCTGAGGTGCAGGCTCCTACAGATTGCAGGATCGCAGAACGCTGCGTGCCAGAAAGAGGGGCCCTGGCCAGGCGGGGGGCCGCAGGCTTCACTCACACAAGGGCCCGGCATGGACCACATCGCAAGGCTTTCCCTGCCAAAAGGACATTTGCCATCACTCGTGAAAGCCTAGCATCCGGAACTCTGACTACAAGTATCGCTTTTCAACTTGAAACATTTTTTCAGCTGTAAAAGTTGAATGTCTGCAATTTCTTAAAAATAAATGAATTCCCCCTCCATTGCTTTATCACTTTGGTCTCTGACCTTCCAGGGTCAGAATTATGAAAGCCATGAATACAGATAACTTATCCCCATGAATAGAAGCTACAGAAGAAAACTGCCTTCCAGGGGCAGGTCCGTGGGGGTGCTGGTGAATGTGGAGGGCAGGACGTAGGTTGTCTATTTACGGCGTATGTGTGACCTATGCCAACTGGTTTCCTCCTGACTGGCTGGATCGAAACGTGTCTGGGAAAGGCAGTGTGAAAGCTCCTGAATTAGGTTTGATGCCCGTGGACCCTCATCCAACAGCATCAAATACAAAACGCCACTGTCAGCCCGAGAACAGGGTGGAGCTCCTGGAATTTCAGATTTATCTTCCTGGCTTCAAACCAAATAGGCTTCAAAACCAGAAAAAGAAATAACATCTACATGATGCGGATTTTCTTCCACAACCTGAATGTATTAAAAAAAAAAAAAAAAAAAAAAA